TAGATAGATAGATAGATAGATAGATAGATAGATAGATAGATAGATAGATAGATAGATAGATAGATAGATAGATAGATAGATAATCTTTATAGCCTCCAAATGTACTTTAATGTATCATCCATTTATTCCTATTCCTAGTGGTCAGTGCAATCAAACATATAATCTTGACTTCTTGACTCTTTGATTTCTGAATTGACCATTTATAATGGAAATTTCCATATTATTACCTGAGAGTATGGGAAACATCCTTGGAGAGAGGGGTCTTCTACAACTATGCCCATATTAGAGCTGGCCAAGTGAATAAAGGCGCTAGTGAGGTCCCATTATAAGATGTAGAATAGGTATAATTTCATTGTTTGTATTCTCTGCTCCCAACCCCACCAGCAGTAACATTCTGCATTTAGCTTCAGAAGATTTGAATCTTTTGAACAAGGGTTTTAAAGATACCTTAAATCCAGGAATAACTAGATAAGAAAGCCATCTAGAAGTATAACTAGTGTACTACTGAAATGGAGAGTGGGATTATTTGAATTGAGGGCAGAATTTCCATTGGTTTTGCTGGAATATTCTGACATTTTTTTTAAACATCAACCAGCTATTTCTCCAAGTATTTTGATACAAATATTTTGAAGTACACACTCATAACTACAGTAGCATAGCTAAGTGTCCAGGACTGGCACTATATTGCTAATCATGGGTGTAAACTTCATGAGGTGACAAGACATTTGACTCCAGGCCAAGTCCCACTGAGGGCTGGTCTATCAAATCAGTTGGAGCCATCATACTCTTACAAGCTTCAATTCAACAAGCATACTACTGTAACTGTGGTTAGAAGACCCTCTAGTATCATGTAGCTGCTGTAACTCCCAACTTTCCACACAACATTAAAAAGGCTGAAACTCCATTTCTCCTGTTGTGTGTTCTCCTTTACTATGGTAAAGGATGCCTGTTATTTGACTGCAGCCTCCTTATCCATCTCTTCTACCAGCAGGGGAAATGACAATTGTACATACATACCAGGCTACTAAGATAGTACTATTGACAGGAAGTCAAGGACCTGGAGTTTGTGTAGTTGTCATCTGGCAGGGAAAAATATTTCTCTTTTAAAATAAAGGCAGCATTGTGTTTTCTGTGAAAAGATTTTTGGCAGTTTTGAGATTGATTGATTGATTGGCTGATGAAATGGGAGGAATTCACTTTTTAGAAACCTCATTTATACTCCTCTTAAAACTTGTAAATAGGAAAACACAACAACAACAAAAATTTGTTCCAGTGTTTCCAGAGATGTCCTCATTCATCTAGGAATCAAAAGCTGATGCACCAACCCAAGGAAAGTCACCTCTTTTTTGTAAAGAGTAGAAAGGCTCTTAAGATATATGGGGGAAATCTCTATACTATCAAATACTTGAGAGGGGCATGGACTTCTGAAAACACACAAAAAACCTTAAACAAATATAGAAAACATATTCAGCAACTATAGAATACTAGGATGATGGCTCAGAACTTCTCTTGATAATCAACAAAGAATAATAGCCCATTGTTAGTTGGACAGGAACAAATCCAGATAATTTCTCAAGTCATTAGAGGACATATATTTCTTCCTTCTAAAAAAAGTTATCAGACCTGTAATAGGTTCCATATGTATCATTCTATCTAATTCTATGATCACTGTTTTATGTTGCCTCGAGCTTTAGTTTGTGAGAAGGCAGAATACAGATGTAAAAAGCAAACACAGTGCTGATTCCTGTCACCTGACACTCAATCTTTCAAATTTCTAAAAAGATATGGCTAACAGCCATGTCATCAAAACCTTTTCCTCACACTGTGATCTTGATTTTTTAGTCAAATTGTGGTGTTATTATTTTTTATTTGAAATATAAGTCTTAATGAATTAGTGGTTGGATGTTTCACAGCGTACAAATTATTATTTGAATTGTCATGTGAAAAAAAGAAGAAAGTTTCTTTGTGTTGGAAGACTCTGCATTAATTTGGAATATTCATTACTACAATGCATAGTCTCAAAGTAGCAACACCACCAAACATTGGTCAGCTATATCTTTTCAGATAAAAAACTATATTTAAATTAAAGCAACATTACCTGTGTAGATAAATCTTCCAGGTGTGCCTTTACAGAACTGCTTGGATTTATAGGACAATGTAACTTCTACAACACCAGGAATATGTCGGGGTGGTGTTTGAACTCTGATAGCATGTGGCGTAATAAGCTAGAAGAAATTGTAAGAATAGAGGAAATTGGTTAGATATAGAATAGTTATGTAATAACACATTTTTTCACATCACACTACAACACTTTGGAATATATAATTAACCTGTCATTGTTTGAATGTATTCTTGGAATAACTAGCATAAAAGCCAATGACAACAATATTTGCAAATGTTATTTCCCAGACATAATTATATTAGCTTTGTTTTCGTACATAGCAAGCATTTATTTCGGGGTATGAGAATTTCTTGTGACAAACCACAACTTTTGATTGAACCAACTTGCAATCTCTATACTAAGGAATCCCACAGGATTTTCATTTTACTCCCCTAGCATATGCCAGATCAGATATGAGTGTCCTATTAGAAAACTATCAAGCAAAAAGTGAGGGCTTTCCACATTTCAGTGAAGGCAATGGAAAAAATAAGCACGTATATGTTTTCTCTCTGACAATGACATGTATTCAGAGGGCTTAACTTTAATATATTTACCCTGTTTCACTGCATTATCTGTGATGCAATAGGGGATTCCTTTGTTGTAATAGTCCATCACTATTTTTCAGAATTAGAATTCCAACTGAAATCCCAAACTTATATTATAATATTGTTCTGTGCAGAATACTTCATTAAACAGAGAGAAGCACAAGGTTGACCTCATATACTTGTTCTGGTTCATCCTGGAGATTCTGGGTTTGTATGCTATAAAATATATACTATAGCTTTTGAAGTATTAATTGCATACTGCTGTAAGACACTTTCACAAGCCTGGTCACAAAATAATAACTACAATATGTGAATGCGTATTATGTATATATGTGTGCAGGAATTAGATCTGACTTTAACAGCCTTTCTCATTTGAGATTTTTAAATAAACTGTTCTATCACAACATTACTTCATCTGCTTCAAATATTTTATCTTAACTCATTAGGAAATTGCAGTGGATTAAATGTAAAGATAGGAGAATGTCTCTAAAATTCTGAGCATGTGGGTCTTTCTATAACAACCCAGAATGTTAATTCTTATTTGACACATTTCAGCTTTATTCTATCACCTGTAATTAATGCAGCTATTGTTGCATATGTTATACATTTTAAATAGTTATTGTTTATTCTGTACTTCTTACCTTGAGCTATGAAAGTATAAACAATTTATCAAAATTAGTTTGGGCTATTATAAGAAAGTTACCATGCTCCAACTAGTCCTGTTGGTTGACACTTAAACATGCCATGATATGGGAATGTAATATTTATAATATAAAGAAAGACATGTTAAAAACAGCATTTTTGGAATCTTGTTAGACTGATTTAAAGTCTTTCTCAGATAAACTACAAACTTAGTTGTAGGGGCCCCAATGTGAGTGTGCCACATTAGAGGTGGCTAATGGAATAGAGAACACCCAGCCTCTTTGCTATGTACATTTTGCTCCATCCCATCCCATTTCCTTATTTTAATTCAATTTTTAAATTTAAAATCTTTATTTTAAATGTTTTATATTGCACTTTATTTAATTTCTGCAAATCACCTAGAGTCATCTCTGGTGAGATGGACACAGCACAAGTTTGATAAAGCAATGAACATTTTTTTCACTGGGTTTTGGTTGTGATAGTGCAGTTCTTAACTGGCCTTGAGCTTTATGAATTGTTCAATATGATATTACTGGATAGTTTTATCTAACAACTGTTTAGTTCTACAAATGAGAAAGATTCCATTTAACATAAAAAAAGAAATTATGAACAAAAGTACTTGAAATGACCAGGAAGAAGTGACAAATCCATATGCAGAGAATAAAACAAAGCCTTGTGAACTCCAAAGGATAAATTTTACAATAAATTATCTTCTGTGTTTTTAAAATTATCTTATGTATTTTTATTGCAGATCCCTTTCTTGTTAATCTATCACTGAGTTCCTTTTCTTGTGTACCTAGATTTTTCTGGCAATCTCAATCCATCTCTGATTCCCCACTGGAGACTATACACCTTCAGAGATTACTCCAAACTTCACAATCTCAGAATCTGTGAGCTGCAGTAGCATAATCATTGTTCTCTGGAAAGATTCCCAATTCAAATCACAATCTGAATAAATCATAAGTTTCTTCAGATGCCCTTTCTCCTCTAGAAGCTTCCATACCAGCTGCCTCATCAACACACTGCAGAAGAATGTTATACCTATTTAGTTGTACCTATATATTTCCCTTCTATCACTATTTTGGGGTAAACTATTCCTTGGTGGTTTACACAATTGGGAAGTATTCTAATCAGAGAAGTGAAAAAGGAAAGGGCTAAACCTTGTCTTTGTCTTTCATATCATTGCTCCAATTCAATTCCTCCCCAATTCAACCCCACCCCAAACATACTGACTACTTATTTAACTAAAATCAGCTACAGTTCCCCCAACTACAAACTTCACAATTACTATGCAGGATTAAAATACCCGAACTTTATAAGAGCCCTACTAGAAATGTCTAGTCCATTAGTTGGTTATAGGAATAACCAACTAGGTCTTTCAAAGAAGGTCAAAAAAGAAAGGATAAAAGAATAACCGTGTCTCATTGTTTGTCATTAGCATCTAATGTTATGTAATTCAGACATAATTTGCCTTTGAACCTGGAGATTTCATTTTATAAGTATATGATCTAACTTAAAACAATCAAAACCCAAAAGCCAGCAGCCATTGTCACATCACATGATAATGAATTTCATATTTTTTTAATCATACACAAGCAATACGAATATATAACCAACCAGATTCAGGATGACAGATGCATGACATACAAATGCACATTTATTAAAAAAATAAATAAAGGTTATTTAGGGTTCCATGTCTTTAAGCACACAGGAATAATGTATATGCAGCAATAGCCCTTTCTCATCTGAACAATTAATTATTCTAGCTAATAGCTGAGTTTTAATCTGATGCAAGTATGGCAGCCAGTTACTAGGAGACAATGAGTTCTAGTTTTCTCCTATACTTTAAAGCTGAGACTTGGATCAGTCATTCCCTCTCAGCCCATCTCACCTTCATAAAGTTGATGGGATGGAGAAAATACAATGTGGGATCATTACATACGTCATTTTGAGTTGCACAAAATAATAATGAGATATAAAGTTAATGTTATAGATAAATATAAATTTTGTATGTATGTATTATATATATGTGTGTGTATATAAATTTTGTATGTATGTATGTATATGTATATGTATATATGTATATGTATATATATATGTTTACGTGTGTTTTCATAGATAGATAGATAGATAGATAGATA